CTAATTCCGAGTATGGGTCACCATACTTGGCCACATGTCACTTCACTCATAATTAAAATAATGATCTTTAAAAAAACATCATATGACCCCTTTAAACTCTCTTTTGTGTCTCAGGCAGGACCAATGCCCAAACATGTGGCCTTTATCATGGATGGTAACAGGCGCTTCGCCCAAAAAGCGCATGTGCAGAGGCAGGAGGGTCACTCGCAGGGTTTTGAGAAGCTGGCAGAGGTGAGTGTGCAGATAATGACAGACCGATGTGGATTAATTTACCAATGTTTGGCCAATTTGACTGACCAATTAACTTAAGTGTCAATCGTTCCCTTTTCTGTCAGTTCTTTCAGATATGTGACCCTGGAGCACAAAAGCAGTCTTAAGTCGCTGGGGGATATTTGTAGCAATAGCCAACAATACATTGTATGGGTCAAAATTATTGATTTTTCTTTTATGCCCAAAATCATTAGGATATTAAGTAAAGATCATGTTCTGTGAAGATATTTTGTAAACTTCCTACCAAAAATATATCAAAACTTAATGTTTGATTAGTAATATGCATTGCTAAGAACTTCATTTGGACAACTTTAAAGAGGATTTTCTCAATATTTAGATTTTTTTGCACCCTCAGATTCCAGATATTCAAATAGGCCAAATATTGTCCTATTATAACAAACCATACATCAATGGAAAGCTTATTTATTCATGTATACATTTTAAAAAAATTGACTCTGGTTTTGTGGTCCGGGGTCACATATATCAATTGATAATCTATGTTTTCAAATATTTTAGTGATTTGTGAATAAATATTATGTAAAATAAGTGTTAATTTTATTTCAGCAGTTTGTGTTTTCTCACTGGTCGTTAAATTGTATTGCATTACTATTCAAATGTTTGGCGTCGGTAAAATGCTTTTAATGTTTTTGAAAGAAGTCTCTTCTGCTCACCAAAGCTGCATTAAAATACAGTAAAAACAGTAATATTGTTTGTGAAAAATGATTGCATTTTAAAATAACGATAGATAGACAGACTAATAATGTGTGAATATATTGTAAAATGTAATTTATTTCTGTGATGCGCAGCTGATTTTTCAGCATCATTACTCCAGTCTTCAGTGTCACATGATCTTCAGAAATCATTCTAATATGCTGATTATTATCAGTGCTGCTTCATATTTTTGTGGAAACTGTGATGCATTTGATTTTTCAGGATACTTTGATGAACAGAAAGTTCAAAAGAACAGCATTTAAAAAAAAAAAAAAGAAATCTTTTGTAACATTATAAATGTCTTTACTGTCACTTTTGATCAATTTATTGCATACTTGCTGAATAAAAGTAGTAATTTTTTCC